CCCCACCCGAATGATGAATGAATGTTGTGTTCTACTTTTACTTATGTATTGTCTCATGTCTCGTCTTTTATTTCACTCCCTATAACTTGTGAGCCGCCCTGAGTCCCCTCAGGGAAAAGGGCAGCTTATAAATAATAAACAAATACAAAAAATACAAAAAAAAGAGGAGAGGTTCTAGAAGTTGGTATGGGAATGAGTCAAGAGTTCTCCCAATGGGAAAATATATTGCACACACACACTTAACTGTTCTCAAATAATCTGTTAGGCAACTAGGGGGGGAAAAATGACAATCTTCTAATAGGCTAGTTGCAAACCTATATAACCACATGGGTCTGGAATCAATTCTGAATTGATGTAATGCCTGTTTGTGAAGTCTTTCAATTATTCTGTTCAGTGCACCATGTCTCTGTCTCCATGTAGCATCCTTGATGTCTCACAATTCATTAAATCCAAGAAGAAGACATAATACAATAAAAGACCATTGTCCCACTTGACCGCGAAGAGTAGGTATGACTGGCAGGTTCTTAGGAATGGAAAGATATTATGTAATGGGGGAAAAGAACCCCACAAGCAGTTAAAAATGACCTATCCTTCCCACAATAAAATAGAACCAAGGAGTTGAAAGGGTTTATTTAGGACAAGTATAATTTCAAAATGTGTTTTCTTGCCTTTGAGAAATGTTACATAACATAAAAGCACACATTAATGCCGGAGCAGAAGCCAGTAAAAGAACCTTTTAAAGAAGGCTGAACAAATGGCCTTTATATGTGTTATAACCTTTGTGTTCTCATTCAATGTACAGCCATTAGTATATACTAGGCAGCAAATAGAAATTTTGAGGGCTACTGAACACTTTGTGCTTTTCCTGAAACCTTTCTGCAAAGTTATTTAGCACTTGTGTTTCTATAATTGAGATACATTGGGGGAAATCCTTTGTTCAATGGGCCCTAAAACTCAAACTTTCCCTGTGTCCTTCTTACATCGGGATGCAATATAATACACGCAGGGAGGCTGACCAGATTGCTGAGGTTTATCCTATCTTTCTTTAGCAAAAATGGTAACCGGATTGTGTATTTTTGCTCTATCTCAAAAAATCAGATCACAGTTCATGAAGGAATACAAAGAACAATTATTATAGTCTTTCTATCATTCTTTGAACCCTGAAAAATTCCAGGTGATTAAATAAAAAAAATACATTCTGTTTTTCCATCATTCTTTGAACCCTGAAAAATTCCAGGTGATTAAATAAAAAAAATACATTCGGTTTTTCCATCATTCTTTGAACCCTGATAAATTCCAGGTGATTAAATTAAAAAATACATTCGGTTTTTCCATCATTCTTTGAACCCTGATAAATTCCAGGTGATTAAGAAAGAATACATGCTGTTCTATTCTCTAGAGTCTATGCATTCTCATTTTTTACAGTGTACAAAGGGAACAACTTCAGTTCTTCCCACTTTACTTCAGATTTCATCAAAGGGAATGGAAAGTTGTTAGTGAATGATCATTACTTTGATGGTAAAAGTGGACAGTTTGGTTTTTATTTTTAAGATGATAGGAAAGAACAGCTCCTGTACTGTACTTGACCAGAGGGCCTCAACTAATTTCCTCCTTGTTGGGAAGAAAGAGATCATTTTCACCTTTCATTNTGGGCAGCAAGCTGAAGTTAACCTGAGCTTGGACACTCCGCAGCGCCTCGAGAACGACCATTCAGGTAAGCCAATGGTCTTTTTCTTAGTGAACAGTAAAATGAACATTTAGTTAATGTGAGATGAGTACCTATGTTCATTTGTTAGCACAGAGTAAATGAGAGAACAACCATTTTTTATTGTTCAGTAGTCTGTGTCTAGATTTCTTTAGGTAATTTTTACTGTGGAATTTATCAGAGCTTTAGGCTGGTGGTGTTTTGAAGATTTTTACAGATTATCCACAATGTTTGGAATGTCATCTTACAGGTTTCTGGGAGTTACTCTTTCAATGCTTCATTTTTTTCTTACACAGAAATTTGCCAATCCAGACAGGTCAATGACAGAATTATTGGCATGTTGGTGGATAAGTATTGACAAATATGTCATGCTTTTGAATATGCAGATAGGCAAAACATTAATATTACTGTTCATTTTGGAACTAATTAATTCCTTATCCTTTCTCCCTTATGTAGCCCATTAGTGACCATGTCACTAATTGATCCTGTTGCTTTTTTAAAAAAAAACATCAGCATTATTCAAACAACCGTAATCTAGTCAGTGCTTCTTAATAAAAAAACCTCAGATTTTCATAAAATGCCAATCTGTTCTTAAATTATACTCTGCTTAGGCTATGCATGCTTCAAAAGATATTTGAAAGATGTGTTTCCATCCTCAAACAAGAACAGCATCTCTGCTGTTTCTTAGAGCAGTCCATATCTAACATAAAGATGTCACTGTTTTAAAGAATATTACTAAATGTAATGCAACTCTTAAAACAGCTGAAACTTTTTTCTTTACATTCTCTACCCAACCGTAATAATATTTTGTTAATTTTTATTGTTTTAAATGTAGTTTTATATTCTGTAAGCTGCCTTGAGTCGCCATGGGCAAATAGGATGCAATATAAATTCAATAAACAAACAAATAATACGTTACAAAACAAAATAAATTCACCTAGAATTCCTTGATAACTGACTTGGTTAAAAGGTATTTATGCAGCTGTTCCCTTCTGACACTGCTAGAGAGTGAAGTGAAAGCATACAAATTTTGATATTTTTTCCCCCTACTTGGTAAAATGACCAATTTTGTGAGTCAAATTTCAACAGTTGTGCAACAGCAATAGAGCTCTCTTCTTAAAGACAAAGATTTCACCTTCTCAGAAAAAAGTGCTACAGTAATCACGATTGACAAGTTTCAAAGTATTCCTTCAAGATCTGTAGCTGATTGTCTAAAAATGCCTAATAGACCAAGACTAGGAAATTCCTGAAAATATTTCTTAAATTCCTGTTCATAGTAGCAGTTCATTTGTGTAGGATAATGCATACATTTCAAACCAGCAAGGAATTTATGTACTTTATCTTGCATAAATGACTATGGGTGCTCAAGTAGTAGTAGTTGCTATTTTTCCTGTTACCAATTTAAGTTCTCGATGCTGAGTTTCTAAAAAAATAAGAATACAGGGGAACATGTAGAAACTGATCTGTTAACACGCTTTTCCTGCAGCGCAACTTTGCCAGCCCAACAAAAAGGCTTTATCTCCCCACCCTGCATTCCCCTGCCCTGGTGTATCCTTTTTGCACACTTTCCTCTCCATTTACAAATACTTACGTTGAACTCTGTATACAACTGTAAATTGAACAGATCAGTCTTCCTCTGTGGTTCTGTTTGAGAAGAGCTTTTCTCCAGTGGCATTGAAGAACTTTCTGTTTTCTCTATCCTTTGTATTTTTCTGTCACTGTTCTTTCATGTCAGCTCCCGTTGCATTTTTGATTCTCAACGTATATCTCCCTCCTCTGTTTCTCTTATCCTTGTTACTGACAGCCAGCTGCTTTCTCTGCCTGCCTGCCTGCCTGCGTGTATGTGCGTGCATGCGTGCTGGCACTCTCTCTTTTTGTTGTTAGTATCCTGGAGATGTAAAGTTTCATATTACATACTCACCAAGAAGGGAAAAAACACAACTGGAGTCTCACTGTTGCCCACAAGGTTCCCCGAATTAAGAGCTGTTGCAATTTTTTGTGTAACTCTTGACTGCATCTGAGAAATTTCTTCAGCTCTTTTCTCACACTGTCTGGGCAACTCTTGAGTTCTTTTCCACATCACTGGAGACTGCTAATTTTGTGGTTGGTGTTAGAAAAAGAATGATTTGCACTTAGCAAAATCAACAGAATGGAAGAGATAACCAAAAGGCTCTTCCTCCACAGACACAGGAAGATCTTTGCAGGCTTATTTTTTTCCTGTGAAATACTCTATGAAAAAGAATCAAAAGACCCAGTTTATGCAATGGCTTTGCCTCCCATGGGAGTGAGGAAATAATTCCATAGTTCACAAGAAGAGAGGTTTTGAGAAGAACTGTTAATACATGGAAGATACAAGTGGAAGCATGTGTACTTCCAGGGCAGTGGGCAGGGCAGAGTAGGGTAGGGAGGAAGATGGATGGGCAGACAATAGATGATAGATAGATAGATAGATAGATAGATAGATAGATAGATAGATAGATAGATAGATAGATAGATANCCCTTACCACTCTCCCGGCCTTCCATAAAGCCGTCAAGACCTGGCTGTTCCGGCAGGCCTGGGGCTGTTGATTGATATCCAGCCCCGCTTAGATGGAATGGGTGATGTGAATTTTAATATTGTATTTTTTATTTCTATTTTTAAATTTTAAATGTTTCTTTGTCTTGTTGTGAGCTGCCCAGAGTCCCAATGGGAGTGGGCAGCATACAAATTTTAAATTCCAATTCCAAATTACTTTTTTCTAATATATGATTAAAGATCAGTTAAATCAATTAAATTTTAATGTACTTTTTGTAAATATTTTTGTAAATATGTAACTAAAAGTCTATTAGGGGAGTCGCAATTCTTGGATTGCTAGCCCTTGCATTATATTTTCATGTATTTCCTATTTTAAAATAGTGGGTAATTTTGCACTGAGTTTGGATAGCATAGTGAGAATTGTTTAATTTTATTCATTCATTTATATCCTACATTTCTTATTTTTATAAATAACTTGAGGCAGTGAACATACGTAATACTCCTTTCTCCTCCTATTTTTCCCACAACAACTGACCTGTGACATGGGTTGAGCTGAGAAAGTAACTGGTCCAAAGCCACACAGCTGGCTTTCGTGCCTAATGGGGGATTAGAATTTACAGTCTTCTGATTTTTAGCCTGGTACCTTAACCCATAGACCAAACACAGATCTCAACTCAAGGATAAGAAGAATTGGGTTTCTTCACATGTGAGACTGCAATTTTAAATTATTTCTGTTTCTAAGCACTTTCTTGAGTCTTTTCTATGTGACTAGAATATTATCTAGTAATATTTATCCAAAATTTACTTGTACAGATCAAAAGATGAAGATACTGTATATGATAAGTTTAGCAGATCTCTACTTTAATCACTTAAAGATAAATTACCATAATTGCCACATACATTGAAGGATTATTGTTATTAATCCTAATCCTGTCAATTAACCTAAGTAATTTGGTTTAAAATTTTTTTAACTATTTAAATACATTGATTTTTTTTTAGTTCAAAATTCTTAGTTAAGTTTTAGCATGCAATATTTCCTATGGTCATTTCATATGTGCTGTTTCTGTTTAATCTCTTTAAGTTCCATCTTTTTTTATATCTTTAGGGCAGAGAAGCTGAAAATGATAACTTTGTTCTTCCAGGTAAATATTATTTCACATATCAGTTTTGGATAAAGTTTGCATGGGTGTTTTTGAAGAGTTGACAGTAATAAAAGCCTGTATATAGTTTAGCCTGTAAGAGAGAGGGATTCAATTACAGCAGCAATGGGTGCTACATTGGAAGGTCTGAAGGATCAGATGAGGATAGTGCGTCCAGGAAAATATCCTGTCTATGGAGATGCATAATCAGTCAATCAATACTTTAGCCTAGGCATAAACCCTATTATGAGTATTGGCAACGTGTGGCTCCCGAGCTGCATTTCATCCCACTGCTGTGGCTCACTGTCAGCTGGCTGGCCCTGCCCCTCATCCTCCCTTCCCAGTCACTCCTCGTATGGCCTGTGAAGGTAAGGGTGACAGTGGGATGGAGACCTGCTCCATATTCCAGGTCATATTCCATATTCCAGGAGACCGGGAGAGAAGCGCTCCTGTACTTGCCTTTCATCTTACGAGTGCTTCTTCCAATGCTACTTGGTGCTAGGCACACCACAGTCGCTTGGGGAGACACGCAATTTGATCTCTGCCCTGAGACGCTGGCCCGGGTTGGCTGCAGCCAATTCTCTGCATCTTAATGGGCTCCAGGAGGAGGAAGGGATGTTGTCTCCCCCATTGTGAAGCACATTAAAATTAAGTGTGCTGCGCAAGGCACTGCAAGAGCAGTGAGCAGACCAGATTTTGTACCTTCCAATGTTTTCTTTTCTGTGGGAAATGGGTCCAAATGGCTCTTTGAGTGTTTAAGGTTGCAGATCCCTGCCCTAGTATGAGGGCTAGTTTGATAGAAATAAAAACAAATAACCTTAAACTAGATGGTAGTTTAGAGTAATGAAGAACAGGTGGGAACTATTCATCTTGCTCAAAAGTGATGCTTCCAGTCACATAGAGAGAAGAAAAAGGTGCAAAAATTTGAACTTTGATTTCATTATAAAAGGAGCTTTCATTTTATACGTAATAGTTGCTGGAATCCTTAGTTTTTCTGTTTACTGTAGGCCTGCAACATTTCTAGATTTAATATTTACTACCAGAAGATTGTTTAATGGATATTAGAATGTAATTTGCTCTTTGTATATGACATTAATGACCCCAGGATTCCATGTTGGACTGATTTACAGATACCTTATTTTTTGGATTATAAGAAGCACCTGACTATAAGAGACACCTAAATTTAAAAAGAGGGAAACAACAACAACAACAAAAGGTTTTTGGCTTCTGTGCGCCTCATTTTCGGCCCTTTTAGGGGGGCTTTTTTCGGCCCTTTTTCAAAGCTTTTCTCAGCCTGTTTTTGAGGCTTTTCTTGGCCCATTTTTGAGGCTTTTTCTGTCCCATTTTTGAGGCTTTTTGTGACCTGTTTTTGAGGCTTTTCTTGATCTGTTTCTGAGGTTTTTTCAGTCCTTCTTTTGAGGCCGTTAAAAAAAAAAAAAACAGGTCAAAAAAATTCTCAAAAATGGGCTGAAAAAAAGCCCCCCAAACGGACCAAAAAAGGTCCAAAAGCGGGGGGTGCGGAGGCCAAAAGATGGCCGGTGGGTGGCAGGGGCATTGGTAGTATTTAATCTATAAGACACACAAACATTTTTACCTCCTTTTGGGAGACAAAGAAAGTGTGTCTCATAGTCCGAAAAATACAGTAATATAATTGCCTATGAAGACCTCCTTGCTAAAACATTTGGGTTTAAGTCCACCACCGAGAAAAATAGACTTTCACTAGAAGTTTGCTTTGCTCAGTGCCAGATACCATTCTGGAAATCTGTGATAAATACAGATGTTTGATTAATAATAGGGTTTGGGTATCATATAAATGTGTTTTAGAGCTATCTCATCATGGGTAAAATGAAGTACAAGACAACACAATTGATTCTGTAACTTAAGTGACACTTAATGACATGAAGAAAAAATAAATAAACTCTGCCTTTTCTTTAATTGGCCTCAGCAGAATGGCTTTTATGCTATTGAAAATTTAAGAGATAACCAAAAACATGTAAGCAAATTGAAGCATAATAAATAGTGGGTAAATGTCAGTAAAATGATACATTTTCGTTATGATCTACCCCAAAAGTGAAATAACTGGCAGATTTCCAAATTGCTAATAGGATAGATCCTCCTCACATGCATCAACCAACTGGATGTAAGCAAGAAACACCCAGAGCCATAGAGAGTCACATGAATTCCTCGAGTGTAAGAATAGTATATGCTGGGAAAGGAAGTTTAAAAAATCTAGACATGGGTTGGTGAAGTAACAAAACACATTTACAGAAACAGTTCTGTTCTGCAGTCTGATACAGTTACAGTTCCCATCTATGAAACGTTTCAGAACATATTAGAATTTATTAACTAAGCTTGTTTATTTGCTCCTTTTGGTAGATAGTGATTGTCCTTTGAAGGATGCAGCCAGTAGGAAAATTGCTAGAATGACAGTAAAGGTAAGTGGAAGTATTTTTCAAGACAGGTTATTTTAATACAGTTGACTTATTCGTTGTCAACTGGTTAAGTTGTGATATTCAAATTGAAGACTAACTGAAGAAAAATATAGCACAGATATGTTTCCTAGGTAAAGTCAAGATCAATCAAAATTTAGGTGGAGCCACCCTTTCAGTGCAACTCTGTGTCTTTGCAGCACTCTCTGAGCACTTTACAAATATCAGCATATTGCCCCCAACAATCTGGGTCATTTTACCACCCTCAGAAGGATAGAAGGCTGAGTCAACCTTGAGCTGGTCAGGATTGAACTGCTGGCAGTGGGCAGAGTCACCTTGAATTACTGCATTCTATCCGCTGCGCCACCAGATGCTCTCATGCATGGAATTTTGAAAGCAAGAGAGAGACCTTTTAATATCAGATGTGCTTAATAATGTAGAAAGGTTTCTAAAAGTTCTTTTGGATTACTTTACAATACAATACAATAGCAGAGTTGGAAGGGACCTTGGAGGTCTTCTAGTCCAACCCCCTGCCTAGGCAGGAAACCCTATACCGTTTCAGATAAATGGNCCCCCCCCCCCGCCCTTCCCTCACATCTCCTGCTTCAATCTAATGCTTTGCAGAGAGTTACTGCTCTAAGGTCATGAATAAAGTATAAAGAAAGCTGCTCTGACTATTCTAAGAAAGACCATCGGCCCCTTCCAGCCAAGAAACCAACTGGCAAGTTGGCCAGTTCTTGTAACTCTGCCAGAGATTGACCTTTTGACTTGAACCTGTAAATCCATTGCCTCAACCTTTAATTAAAAACCTCGCCTGCATTTTCGTTAACTGGTATCATTTTAAAGATGAGAATATGGCTTTAGTTGTACATACTGAGTTCTTTTCTGTTACCTTGGAAGCCCGGCAGGAGTGCTAATAATTAAAAAACAAAGTCTCTTTCCTGGCATAACCAAATTATATTTTGTTCTTTTCCTTTTCTGGAGAGAAAAAAAATGGTCTGCCAAAAACCCTTGGCATTTCTAGCTGGGTAATGCTAGCAATTGCTAGAAGGACATGAAGAAAAAAATTCAACCGGATAATCTTTCATTGCTTGTGAAAAGAGGCTTTCTTTCAGCCCAAGAGCTGTGTGAGTCAGAGTCACTTTGCAGAACTGATAAGGGTAGCTTTGTAGCATTAAATTTTTCTCTTCCCCATCCTAACTTTTTTTATTCCGGGATTTTAAGCCACTAGCTGAGTATCTGACACAGATACAGGTTTCTCAACCGGATGGGTACTAGCAGTCCTGTGTTAGCACACACAGGTGTTTGTTTTATCTTTGCTAAAATAGTCCTGACTCTTGGAAAGTTTTACTCCTTCCTTCTTAGAATTCAATAGGGAAATGCCTCTAAAGGCATTTTTTTTAAATGCCACAAAAATACTTTGTTACCATGGTTCCTATCTTTCCAGCATAAGCCTGCTTTCACATGGAAGATGTTTGGGTTTTCATATTATTTGGAATAAGAAAAAGTGCCAGTGCTTAGAAATATTGTAAATGAATTCCTAGAACAGTGATGGCAAACCTTTTATGGAGTGTGTCCCAAAAGCAAGGGGAGCGCGGGGGGTTTGTGAGCAGGTGTGCCCACACCCATAATGCAATGTGTGCGCAACCCCAGCATGCATGCAGCACTCCCCCCTCCCTGCTTTTGGCGTGCTTTTTTCACATACACACACCCCAGGCTCCAGAGGCTTTCTAGGACCTTAGGAGCCTCCCCTGCGCTCTCCTCCCCCAAAGCTTCAGGAGCTTCCCTGAAGGCTCTGGAGGGTGAAAAACAGCTCTATGGCCAAACCGGAAGTGATTTCCAGTTTGCTCGTAGGGCCACTTTTTTTTCCCTCTGGAGTCTTCAGGGAAGCCTCATGAAAGTTCCAGAGGGTGAAAAACGGCCCTATGAACAAACCGGAAGTTGGTTCATGAACTTCCGGGTTCCCCGTAGGGCCGGTTTTTCACACTCCGGAGGCTTCAGGGCAAAAAACAGCCTTAAAAGAAAGTTAAAGTCAGTTGGCCAGCGTGCACATGCATGCTGGAGCTGACAGGGCAACGCCTTGTGTGCCCTAATAAATGGCTACATGTGCCACCTGTGGCACACGTGCCATAGGTTTGCCATCACAGTCCTAGACGATTGTACCTATCATAGGAAATAAACTGAAGCCCACATTCCTTTGATAATGTAGAATGAGACAAAATATATGTTCAGTTTGTATGTGTATAACTGCATTTGTGGTGTGCTTGGAAATTAATATACTAGGAAAAAATAAGTTTTTGAAAGTCTCTATTAAATAGTAATTTCCATCTCATGAAGAGCCTGGCTAACTGGCAAGGATGGAAAGGAGAATGTTGGTTCATTGGCATTTGTTCTATTTCTTTTAATGTTGTCAACAGAAATAGATTATTCTTCTCCCAAAGGTATCTTTTAGTTCAGTCAACAAGGACTGCTTTTTATTGACCTTTTATGGTCTGTACAGACAGTTCCATTCATCAAGCCAGTTAGGTGGTTGCTCAAACCTGAACAGCATACAGCATATTTTTCCACTTGACACTCTGCCCAATAACATTCAGAAAAACGTGTATGGAGGGAAAGGTTAATATGAATCAACCCTAAAACAAGACCTCATTATAGTTTTAAATGCCTGTGGTTTTGATGTGTTATAACTGCCTTTATAACTTCTGGTTAGAGATTAGTAGGAGAGGTTGTCAACTGATCATTAAGGTTACCAAACGGTATACTCAAATTATCTCAAAATAGAAGGCTAGCATTTTTCAGTAGTCTAGAAAGCTTGGAAAGCAAATAATGCTCTTTGTGTCACTGTGTCTTTATCCTGTGAGTATTTTTAACTTGGTCACCTTTAGAAAGTCTCTGAACCTTTCAAATCACTGTAAGAAAAAGTGTTTCCTCTGTTTCCTTTACTTTTCCTCGATCTAACATTGCTTTTTGTTTGCCTGTTAGTTGTCGCCATGCTGCCATAGCCAACTACTTTGGAGATGATGTTCCCCAATGTAACAGAAGCTGTGATTATTGTAAGAATCCAGCAGCAGTGAAGAAGCAAGTAGAAGCATTACAGCATAGCACCAAACGTTGGAGTAGAACCTATATTGGACTTTCTGCTTCATCTTGGAATGCCTTTGACCCTGAACTGTATGGAGGAGGAAAGCGAGGCTGTGGTGGCTTTGAAAGGTAGGTCTGCATTAACTAACCGGGAAGAGACATGTTTTTTGGCCAAATAAGAACTGTTCTTCTTTGTCTCCCCCCCCCCCCTCTTGGTGATTTTGATGATTCTCCTGACTAAGGAGGACAAAAGTTGAGAATTTTTTCTGTGTAAGTGAACTAAAGTGATGATCTCAAAAACCACAGCTTCTTCATGAATCTGTCACTTCAATATATTGCACAATTACTCTTTGTAGCTCAGTTTGGAAATCAAAATGCTCAAGAATAAGGAGCATAAGAACTATATATGATTTTTAATTGTTATAGAAATGCTTTTACATGTTTAAATGTAATTATGCAATTCTTTTAATACAAATGTAAAACTGGATCTCAGAATGCTTTCAATTGTGTTGCAAGTAAAAGCTGCTGTTCTCCCTTGTGGGGCTGCACAGTTATTCTGCCTTATTTCTATTTCCTTTCTTAAGGGAAGGCTGCAGGCCTTAAAAATAAAATCGGGAGATGGAACATGTCCATGTCCATATGGTAGAATAATACCCTCCTGCACATGCTTCCCAAATTGACTTTAAGTTAGGGTTAGGGTTAACCCTCAAAAATGTTCAGGAAAATGAGTTTTCTTAGAACAATCTGCCAACTGTTGTTGGTAAAAAGATGATTTGCTAATTTTTGTTGGAAAATTAAGCTTACCTTCAGCATCACTTTCTTCCTGTGAGAGAGAGTAAGATCCAAGTGCTTATCTTAACAGCTTACTCTAATATTTGTTTTTAATCTTTGTAGCACACTAGATGAAAGTTAAAGGCATTTTCTTATATTACATAGCTATACAAAATTGTTTCCATTATATTTGTGCTGGGGCAGGCAATATGTGACCTTCTAGATATTATTGTCATAGAGATCCCATCAACATTCATCAGCTGTCATGCTGGCTAAGTTAGTGAACTTCTGAGTGCGCTTGAAATTTGAATTTGAATTGGAAACACATTGCCCATCATGGTTTATTCATCTAGTTTATTCATCAAATGCAATTAGTAACTTTAAGTTACATTTTACTTTGTAGTAAAACTCCAATCTTGTTTATACAAGGGTCCACAATCCTGATGTTTAATCCTAATACCTAGAATATTGGCCTTTGATCCTAATTTAAGATTTGGTATAATTTTGCATGATTCTCCTGTTCAACTTCCAAATCTTTCTGAGTTATTATTCAGATATGACGAAGATACCAGGAGTGTGAGTGAAGTTAATGAGGACAGCCAGAAAAAGGAATGGAACATTTTCTATAACAAACAGATGAAGTTGCGCAGGGTAAGTGGAAGGGCTTTCTATAGAAGATAGAGGCTCACCTATTACAGATAATCCTCGAGTTACAAATGTAATGGAGCCTGCCAATTACATTCGTAACCCAAGGATTTGTAGGAGTGAATCACCTAACTTGAACCCTCTTTTGCCCACGTATTCGCTAATGGAATGCATGGATCATTAAGTGCATGAGGTTTTTCAGGGAGGAAAAGGCCACGAGTGCTTCTCTCGACCCACTGAGATATCTCATGCTCCCCCTTCCCCCCCCATCCTGCTCAACCAGGTCATTTACCTTACGTAGATCTCGATGTTCAATGGAGCTATCTCCTCTTCAGCCTCTGCCGCATTTTTGTCCTGAGTGAAGGCTTGCCGAGGCCTACAGGGACGAGACATTATATTCCTATAGGCTCCAGTCATTTTTGCAAAAAGCCTTTGCCAATGAGAACAGAGCCTGGAAGCGGCTCGTGTCCCTGCAGGCCTCCATTCTTGTCGGCAAAGGACTTGAGCCAAGGTGGCGCAGGGGTTAGGGTGCAGTACTGCAGACCACTTCAGCTGACTGTTATCTGCAGTTCAGCGGTTCAAATCTCACCGGCTCAAGGTTGACTCAGCCTTCCATTCTTCCGAGGTGGGTGAAATGAGGACCCAGACTGTGGGGGCAATATGCTGCCTCTGTAAACCGCTTAGAGAGGGCTGAAAGCCCTATGAAGCGGTATATAAGTCTATATATTGCTATTGCTATTGCGGAAANTTTTTATTTGGTCTATTTCTTTTAAATAATTTAAATCCTTCTAGCTGTATGTTCCATTTGTGGGTTTCATCCCACTAAGTTTCTGTAATGGCAACTAGTATAAAACTTTGTTTTATACTAGTAGAGCAAATCTCCTTATTCAGTAAAAGAAAATGTGCTGTTCACTTGAATATTTATGTTGTGATGAGGATTCAAATATCTTTCTTTCACTGCTTCTTCCACATCGAGAGCTAAAGAACCATATTAACTCTTAGCCCCAGCTTTTACGTAGTGCAGTTCAGTTCATTCTGAACTACTTGTCTCCAATATGATGTAACATTCACACACAGGTATTGATTTAAAAAACTTCTTAGCTGTTCAGCAGACCATGGTATAGAGTTCTTCAATCCTTATCATCCCAACTGTGTGAAACCTTTTTATTTATGCCCTAAAACATGTTTTAAAAAATCAGATAGTGATGATATTGCAATTTGTCATAAGTATCCTGATTTTGATGAATACACCAAACAATTATTGTATTGGGCTCACTCTTTCTTCATTTTAAGCCTGGAGTACTTTTTAAACAAGCTTAATAAGCAAAAAAAAAAGTAGATCTGGGCTGTAATGTTGTACGCCTAACTCCTGGAACAATTATTAGGGTAGCAGGACAGATATGGTCCTAGAAATTATCCTGCTGCACATACATCATTTGGCAAGGAACACACTTCCATATGTCCTCTTTTTATTTTAGGCTCGAGAACACTGCCTTAGGATGCTGGAAGAAGCATTGGTCACCAATCGGCAAGCAGCACCAGTCACAGATAGGTAGATCTAATCCAGTTTGGTGGAAGAGTCCCAGAGCTCCTTTTGAATCTTTTTCCTCCCTGCCTCATTCAGACAAATCAAGGGCAAAGATGCAGACCAAATATAAGAGCTCTATACTACATAGAAGAACTACATAGAAGCACTACTAAGTATAAGAGTTTCGGCTCTTCCCTGTAGTTTCATCCAGCCTTTCCTTCATGGCCCTTGCAAGGGACATGAAATCTTTGGATAGGGAAGGAACTATAGGAAATTGAGCTTTTGCCTATGTAGGTCCTGCACCGATATTGGATTAGATGGAATTGAATCTAACTGTGTGTACTTATATCAGTTGGAAATTCCAATATGTTGATTTCCCAGATTTCCCATTAGTCTTAAAAGAGAGCTAAAGAAATAAATAACGTCTGTGGGGATGTTAATGGGGGGAGGGGTGTTGGTTCTATTTCTATTGCTATTTTTGTTCTAAAGTTGCCCTGGGATTTGTTTTTTCTTCTTGAAAGACAGTCTATAAATGAGTAAACTTGCATACCACTGCCATATTTTGAACCATGGAAAAATTTGCACAAGTCACACAAAACGTCATCATGCTCCCAAGTTAAAGCTCTAAATATGTACATTCTTAGGGATGGCTATGTTGGTTCTCCAGCAAATGCCATTGTTGGAATCCAATTATGCAGTTAACGTGGTTGTTCTTGTATTACTGGGTAAACTTTTTTCTTACCCGAATGTGATTATCTGAATGATCCAAGTATATTTGGATCTTTTCTTTTGTGATCTAAATACTGCAATTCCCTTTGTTTCCATCAGAGGTTAGCAATGTACTATAAAAATACACCATACTGCAAAAAGAAATAGGCAGGTTAGACCTATTTGTGTAATAAACTAGAAATATTGAAGGGAAAAGTATAACTTTGGGTTACTGTTTTTTGTCTCTTTATTTGGGGAAGAATAATCAATTGCCACCAGTATTTTTGCATTCAGGCAATAGTTTGGAACTGCCAACTGTCGCAATATGGATTCTACAATGACACCTAAGAAAACATGGAGCATTTCCTTTGTATTTGGAGAAATGCCTTCGGCCACTGCTGCTCAAACTATGGGTCTGTTTTAGTTCAGGTCTTCTAGCATGTGCTGTAGAGATGGAATATGAAGCTTTCCGGACTAGTAAGATGGCAAACCTATACAAGGCATCAGTTCTAAAGAAGGTAATAAATAGTTGTGGAGATTAACATTGTGGGCCAGAATTCTCTCTGATAGCTGGATTTCTTGAAACATGTGGTCATAAAGAAAAAAAGGTGGTGTATTTATTGTTGACTTACTGTAAAGTGCTATTGCCATCCCTATCAGTATGTAGATTTTCAACAAAATGCAGATTCAGTAATAATCAGATTTGTAGCAGTTTTTAGATCAATCATTGCATCACACTTGAATATCTTCTCAAAAATGTACGCTTTGAAATAATCTGCAGTGTCTGTGTCAGCAGTACAGCTGTCCCGCCCTTCTTTAAAACTATATGATTGCAGCAACAGAATAAAACTTCACAAAGGATTAAAGGGGAAAAACCCTACTTCTTCTATAAATGTTGGCAGAGCCTTCTAGTCAAATGAAAGTAGACAAGTGGCTTGGGACATCTAGAAAAATCATTGGTCCAGCAGCTGAAGGTTTGATCACTTTTGCATGGTTTGGAAGCTATTCTTTAACACTGAAATGGAGACTTGCACAACTCTTCCTGTGGCTCTATAAGAACTGATGTGTAAATAAGTGTCAGTTTCAGTGGCAAAATCTTCCTTTCAGAGGCAGAGCAGGAATACCATTGACCAAAATTTAGTAACAATTGCGCACTCAACTTCTAGTGATCCTCTGTAATTTCCAGAATCTCACTTCATTTCAGATAAGTATAAATAAGTGGCTTGAAAGACAGGCACCTAAAGGTCTACTTCCTTCTCCTTGAAATTGCCTCACTCTCAGAGGGTGATGCTGTCCCAATTTGGATTGCCCTTTCTTGCCTTGATAGTTTGGCACTACAGTGGAATCTTAAGTACAACTTGAACTTAAATTTATCCCATTATTCATTGATCACAATTGTTTTTAAGATTTTGTTCTTTTATTTGTTAATTTCTCACATTTCTATATTTAAGTTTTGGACAGATATGCATTTAAAAGTGGGGTGTATCTACTTTGAATAAACCATAGTAAAGTAAGAACTTTATTTTTTTGACAAAATAAGAGTGGGGGGAGTCCATGCTATCCGTGCTCAAGACATTTGAATGAGAGTTCAGACAAGGGAGGAATAGTTTAAGGTTAATCCGGGTTAGATTGTTAAGAACCTGATCAGGAATCATGGTAATGCTAAATTAATTGCTTTATATAAGAAACGCCTAATTCCTCAGCATTTCCTTACATGGGTTTCCTGCTTGTTGCAACTACAGATAATTCTTGCTTAACATCCACTCATTCAGCAACCATTTGAATGTATGACAGTGCTGAACAAGTGATAGTTATGATTGATGCTTGTACTCAGGTCATCCACAGTATCCCACAATAACAGGATCACCATGTGCCATTCTTTCCTGGCTTCCTACAAGCAAAGTCAATGAGGAAGCCAGCAAGAGGTCACATCTAGTGGCCACAGGAAGTCCTCGCTTAAGACCCCAGTGATTTGCTGAATAATGGCAACCAGAAGTGCCAAACATTCTGTCACAAAGCACTGCAGTGATATGACATTGTGCTTTATAACTCTGTCAGTTAGCAGTGGAAATTCAGATGCTGGTTATTATTTATACTAAATGAGGACTAGTATATTGAAACAAAAATGGTACAGTACCAGAGAAGAGTATCCTCTGAATAGTCCTTTTTACTCTGTTCCTTTTTCAATAAAGGTCACCGAAATTAACAAAGCTTCCAAAAATGGGGAGTTGTATGCCATCCCGGACTTGGGAATTAGTGACTATCCCAAGATGAAAGGTGAATCAACTGCTACACATGATGAGGTCTTCTGTCAAGCATCTAAAGTGAATACTGTAAGTGCTACGGACCTTTTGTTGATAATTCATTATTGGATAGGTGGTTTTGCAACAGATTTTGTCTTATGCATAATTTTCTTGAGCTTTCAGAAATCTCTGTTATATTTGCCATATAGTCCCAAAAGCGCTTTTTCAAAAGGCAACTGGATTTTCTGGATGTTGTTGTTTTTTGAAAATGCATCACTTCTCATCCAAGAAAATTCTTCAGCTCTTTTGAAGCTTCTTAGATGAGAAGCAAAACATCTTCAAAGAAAAACATGTAAGTTCAGTTGCCTCTTGAAAAAGCACCTTTGTGACAACCATGACCCTGGATCACTGAGAATCTCTGTAGACATTTGCCATAGAGGAAAAATATCCATTCATATACTACTACAATTCTCTTTCTTGTAACCTTGAACTGGCCAAAATGGTACACCGTAGGGCAAAACTTTTTGAAACAAGATACCTCAAATAGGCTAACTTTTAGAATGCATCCAAAATCTGGGATCCGTGATTTCCATAGAACTGAAATTTGGCAAATTTTATATAATGCTTTATTATTGTAAAATTAACATCAAATAGTTTCTTGCATAATACAAATGTCATAAAACATTTCCAGGGCTTCCTGTTTGATTGTGCTCTACACTTTAACATGGGCTATTTTCAAGGCAGATACATATCTCTGAATGTATTCCAACTTTTCTAGTGAAGGCAGTACATTAATTCTATCGTTGAAGGCATTGAGAAATCTAATAAGGAAATAACTCTGCAAGGATGACACAAGGGTGTCACATGTTGTCCAGTTTATAACTATTAAAATTCTCCTGTTTTGTCTGTGTGTAACTTTAACTGGCCAAAATTATGCATCATATGGAACCATTTTTGAACAAAAGTATCCCAAATGGGATAACTTTACAGAATGCTTTCAAAATCAAAAACCCATGATTCCCCTGAAATTGAAATTTGGCATGGTTTCTAAAAATTTCATGACCTAATACAAAATATAAAACATTTCCTGATATTTGACAGTTCATCGTGGGCTATTTTCAAGGCAGATTCATTTCTGAATATTTCCCTGAATTTTTTAAAAAATGTTTTCTGTGAAGGCAGTATATTAGAAGCTGTGTATACATTACAAATAAAAAATATCTCAAATGATTGTGCTTTTGATTTCAAATGTTCATAGGAAAATTCAAATTTTAGAAATGTAACTATTTTTCATCTCTTTCCCCAAGTTCAAACCCAAGAGAATGGGGATTGGATTTCAAAACAAGTCTGGCATGTTCCAGTCTGCTTCAGAGGTTCTATCTGTTAAGGAAGGAGATGACATTAATGTTGTAAAAGAAGAAATTGGCTCAGGCTGGAAGGAAGACAGTGGTTGTGGTCCCAAGCCTTTGGATATGGGTGACATTCTTGAGGATAAGGAGGAAACAACCAACAAAATATGCAAAAACGGTGCTGAATCCCCTGAAACAAAAGGACAGCATGACATTGCTGAGGCTGTCACCTCCTTGCTGGTTAGTCATGAAAAGAGAAAACCTACTAAGAAGCAGTTACTGTTAGCAGAAGCAGCTAGGAAAGAATCTCAGAACATCTCCAAATTCTTCTCCATCCCCAAAGCAGGATGTAAAGCCAAGGCTTCAGAAATTGATTTTGCAGAAGAGAAAATCAACTGTCTCAATGAATTGCCTCAGTTTTCCTCCCGAAGAGCGTGTGAAGAGAAAACTGAACCTCAGGAATACCTTGATACTGTTTTTAAAGAAGAACTAACAAGTTCATCTCCCCCAAAAGAGCAGGAATTGAAGAATATAGAAGATATGCCTTTGAGCAGTCAAAGATTAGAGAGAGAGTACTCGTACTCTGGATCACATTTTGAAAAGCTAAAGTGAGATATGTTTTTCTTTGCCTCTCAGTTATTACCTTTTTTGAAGTTAGGATAGACAATGGGCAGTTGAATAGAAGCAATGATTCAACTAGTTTCTGTAGTCAAATTTGAGATTGTAGTATATCAGGTTGGATGAAGCAATTGAAATTTAAGCATGTTGTTCATCCTGAGAGTTGACCCAGGTTGTATGAGTACAACTGAAAGTGAAAAAGCTAAATCTTAGCCTAGTATTTGGACTGAAATTGAGCAGAAGAGTAGGTCAGTATGTAGATATTGGAGATATAAGTGTAGGCTAATTTCAGGCATTTCCTCTGTCTCCACAAAGATGTTAACATTCTTACAAGATGTATTTGTTATACTTTTTTTCTTGAAGGGCTGAATCTTTGATTGAAGAAGATATAACCAATGATTGTGAAAATCTTAACGGAAAAAGACTAGGATCAGCTGAGGTGAGTTATATTTTATTAAAATTGTCTGTCCATCCATCCATAGACACACACACACACACACACAGAGGGAGCATATTGAGGGATGGGTGTCATGCCTCCATCTGCAGGAGAAGATGAGCTGGAACAAGAGCCAACAAGAGAGTGAGACAGCAGCTCCGTTGGCCTTGAGGAAACTGGGGAAGGGCAGAGTCAGTTTGGGCAAGGCTTTTCAGGATTAAAAAGGCTTGCAGACAGGGAGGAGCAGGAGAGACAGAGCTCAGGCAAAGAGCAAGGAGCACCCCCTCATGATCTTAAAGCATGAAGAGAAGAGAAAAGGCGAGAACAACTCAGACTGAGCTGGCTATGAGGGAGGAGAGTGCCCGTCCCCCTTCATAAGGCACACCTGGGGACTGAGATATAAGGAGGTGCTAGTGGGAGGGGCATTTGTTTGGAACAAGCATTGAATCTGGAGTCTTGTGTGCACTTGTCAACACCTGGAGATTACTGTTAGGCTAAAAACTGGCTTATTGGACTCCTGGCCCTGGTTACTGTTTGCTAACCTGGCTTACTGGATTGCTGGCCCTGGTTACTGTTTGGATAAACCTGGTTTACTGGACTACTCACAGCCAGAGGCTGCTGAAGGTGCATGTGAGAGTTTTGCTCCAGGACTTGTAGTAAATGGGACGTTTGGGGGCAAAGTTGTATCAATAAAGAGGAGTTAGATCTGTTCTCTGTCTGTGTTGCTTTCATGCCACACTCCAGATCAGCCTGAGATTTGATGACAGGAATATAGGAATGAAGGAATAGGAAGTCACAAGTGAGATGATTTACGTTTGCCTGAACTAATTCCCAAATGACAGATAAAGGTGGCAATTTAATAAATTGATAAATACATGCTGCTTCATCCAAGAGAAGTCAGTTTCTTCTTTATAGAATTTGTCTCTAGTGCTAACCACCAAATGACAGTGACATTAATTAAGACTGGCTGACTTAACTAATTAAATGAATTGGCCATGCATCTGAAGTACATGACTGTGAATGGGGAAAGAGAGAAGAGAGACTGCATATATGTATACAGAAAATAAAACACAGCAGCCAGAAAAGTAATAAAAATAGCCATCAACACAAACAGGATCTTAAGTAGGTTGCTTCTAGAGTTTAATGCTAACAGTATATTGGTTTCATTGCATTGCATTTTATGATGCACAAATCAGTGTTAACATCACACTTGTGAACTGACATGCTTTTGGTTATTTTTGACTGTTTCTTTTTAATGAGTAATTAATGTTCATTTATTTTTCTCGAACAAAATATATCCTCTTTTGATCATGTAAATAGCAGAAAGTGGGCAGTGGCTAATATGACATACCTTGCCTTAGAAGATATGTAGACAAAAAAGTCTTTGTTAGTGTTGTTGCTTTTGTTTGCCCCAAATTAAAGCAAAGGATCAAACAGAGTAGAGGAAGAGATATGATTAATATTGAAGATTTTGTGCTTGTTAATTTGTGTTCCTGGATGCCTGTTTGATCCTTTGCTTCGGTCTATTAATGTGGATAGAAACCAGGCTTCAGAAAAGTCATGGTTATTTCCTTTGATGAGTGTATATCTTTGAGATGATGATGTAGATCATCATCTCAATGATGATTGAGAAATCATCATTGATGATGATGATTCATGATCATTGATGATGATGATGATGATGATGATGATGATGATTTTGAAAAATGTAGATAATAAATAAATATTCTGTTGCAGTGTTTTGCTGGGCCTGCCAAATTTCTATTTCCAGAAGTGTTCACTATCTCGGAGAGGTTTCCATTTGTACCTTTGGTTTATAAAAGTTATTTAACAAGATATTACTGAGTTATTCCCAAAAGAAACTAGAACTTAAAAAAAAGCTGTTACGTTTTTTTGATAGTGACCTTTCTGATGAACTATATAATGAACCTTCATATATCAGTAAGTGAAAATATAATATATTTACTCTTAGAATAAAAGAAACTGGTTTTGTGAACCTGCTTCCAGGCAATGAATTTTATATTGCTGCTTCTTGTATCCGTCAGTGGTACTGGGGATTGTTTTAGATCTGCCATTTGGTTTGGGCTGACCAATTAAACAAAGCAAATCTTGTCATAACTGTATAGAATTAGTGAAATACCCATTGTGATTATTGCCATTTTTATTTTTTGTTGTTTTCAACGAAATTTTGAGTAACATTAAAATGTGTTCTGCTTCACATTAGTATCTTAAATAATTAAAACTAAGCTAAAATGTTTTTAAAATTAAAGTGTTCTGACATTTCTTAGAGTGTTTTTTTAAGTGACAAGAAAATCCTTTCCAAACGATTAACATGCTTTTGGTTCATTTAAGATTAGCTTCATTGGGAGTGAGCTACATTGCTTTAGAAAGACTGGAGAAAGTAATGCTGTGGTAACTGCAATAGATAGTCTGTAGTGGGATATGTGTGTCAGTAAAATTCTCTTGCAGTTCCATTTTGAGCTTACAGTATAAGATCAATGATTTCTTTTAATGTGAGTTCATCACAGCTACCTCCCTGCCAAGTTTATGAATCCATGAAATAATTCGCCTTCTTTGCCCTCTGTGACTTTTGCACATGCATATAAGCAGGCACACAAAAAAGGTACTTATTAGGTTCTAGAGTTGTGAGTTGTTATGGAGAGACACCTTGTTCCATGTAGGAATAAGTTGTTTGAGAAGAAGTGACTTCCTATTTTCTTTTACGACTGTAATAAGTACAAATGAAAATTCAGCTTTTACTTTGTGATTATGGCATTACTTAACATTTTTATAACATTTTTTTGCACTTTTGGTTTTGTGTTTTTCTCACCTTCTCCCCCCACCCTTTATTTTTAATACTGAATTAATTCTTGCTATTTTCCATCTTTTTTCTTTTAAACTTTAATAAAGATACAAAAAAGGAATAAGATGTTTTTTCTTCCGCTTCTTGAATTAAGAAACCGGATCATATTATCATCTCTTGACACGTGCAATGTTGAGGGTTTAAATTGTAAATCATATCGACAACAAATATGTGTTTCTTGTATTTCAGAAAGGTATCTTAGGTTTAGCCATGTAAAGTTGCTTTAAAGGATTTCCGTTTCTGCCTTTCCAGGACCTGGAGAGCCCTGCTGAAAAGAGGCTACGAATGATGAACATGTCCTCCATTTTGTCACAGTCAGAGGGAAAAGCTGGTAGACTGGCAAAAAAGAAAGTCACTTTTGACCCAAAGTTATCACAGGATGATAAAGAAGGGAACACGAGAGCCGTTAAGCCACCTTCAAAAACATTGTCGCTTAAGGAAACAGCAGATATTGTTGTAAAATATTTGACTCCTTTCTACAAAAATGGGAAATTTGCATCTAAGGTGGGTTATGAACGATTTAATTCTCTCCTCCTCCTCCTCCTCCTCCTCCTCCTC